ATTTTTTCTCTTTCCTTCATTGTTTTTTCCTGCATGTGAATCAGAGAAAAAGCACATGGAGTTAATAATTGCGCCATAAACATCCTCTGACACACTCACATATTCACACAGACACACCACAACACACATACACATCACACAAAACACTTTTAAGCAACATGCTGGGAGAATATATCATCTGTTTATCCAACACTGTGTATACATCCAGGGAATTTGTTAAGGATTTGTTCATGTTTTTTCCTGAACCTGCAAAAGAAAAAAGCCCCCAGAACTCCAGAAAGCTAGAGGCAGAAAGAGCGCTGTTGCGTCACAAACACAATGAAAATAAAGTGAGATACAGAACAGTACTGCAGCCGAAGTGTGTGACATGAGTTATAGTAGGTTGTAGCAGTGTGAAGAAAATAGGCCTTAAATACTGACACAGTATATGATTCCCCTGACAAAGCAGGAAGTCTTGTTGCAGATGGGATCTTTATAGGAGAGGGCTGCTTTGTGTCAGATGCGAGGAATGATGACTGGATCTGATCCTGTGAGAGTGGAGCTATATAGGCGTGTTGAGGTAAATATTTGGAGGGCTTGAAACACCATTGAAGTGCAGCACAGAAATGGTCCTTTCAGTATGTATATGTACACACAGCACCTGGAGATGTATTTCAATGTTACATTGGGTGCAAAAAATCAGGTCATTTCGGAGTTATTCAGAGATGTGAGGTCAGTCCCATTCAACATGAGGGGGTTAGCAAAGCTGAAAACCCCCAAGAGCGAGAGGAGGAGGGGATGTATGTAGGGAGAGCGAAAGTGGAGGAGTGACAGAGAGGAGTATTGGGAAGAAAAGTGAGGTTTGAGGAAAGGACAAACAGGGCAGAGAAGAGACGGAAGAAAAATATTGAAGGGCTTGGAGAGGAAGAGAGAGAAATAGAGGAGGCGAGGAGATGTGAGAGGGAGTGTGTAAGAAAGCAGGAGTGTGGGAAATCAATATGCTCTCTGGGGCGACTGGAAGGACCCAATCTCTGTCTGACCCTCGTATCCCCTTGGTTCAGTGTGTATGTGTGTGTGTGTGTGTGTGTGTTAGCGCATGTGTTGGTGTTTGTGATGTACATATATTTAATTCACAAATGCCTGTATGTGTCTTGTAGCAACATGCCTGACTTGATTTTGAGTTTGAGCGATTTCATGTGGCCGTATTTGCAGCCACGCATGACGTGCTTGTAATATGTTGTGTGTATGTCTCTCTTGTGTTTGCTGTCCTCAGTCAAATATGTTTTATTGGTATGACTGCTGGGAGGGCAGGAGAGAACGATGCCAGGGAGCTAATGGATAAAAGTTCATTACTCTCCCTCTATAACTTAAGTGAGAGGTACCAGATCGACAAGCACTCCGGGAGCAAAGTTGGAAATACGGATTAGGAGGCTGTCACATCCGCAGATGACAACTGATGTGTTGATTCTTGCCTTACGGATGCTCGCAGTCACTTTCCTCACTAACCCCATCTATGTCACTGCCATTAACAGGTCAAATTCACTCACAAGCACGGGCTATGGGGCCAGGTTTTCTCAGATTCCCGCTACTTTTTGTGAAATGTCTTGCCTTTGATTAGCTTATATATTATTTCAATATAAAGGAAGAAAGATTTCTTTGCTCTCTCTCCTTTCCCCACTATATGTGAATAGTTAGTATTTTAGCAAGCTCGGAGGCTGCCGGCTTTCACAAGGGCCGTCATGACGTTCGGGGTTTGTTAAAGCTGGCTCAACCGCCATTGCCAAGCCCACTCCTGAATTCGTTTCTTCCATTGCCCCTGGGCGCCTCTCAGACTGACAGGGGGCGAAAGGGGTAGATGCGTAGATGAAAGAGCAGACGGGGAAAAATAGGCACTCCTAAGGAGAGAGATAAATTTACAGTCACCGAAATCACTTTTCTCATCTCTATCACTCCTCCTGCCACCGTCATCAAATATTCCTCTTTATCTTCTCTCCCTCTGCCCTCTGCCTGCTTCTCTCTCTCTCTGGCTTTGCAGTTGCAGGGGGATAATTGAGGTTGACAGCAGGGGTATATGACACCTTGCTAAGGAGGACACCAACACACCACGCAAACGCACACCCACACCACAAAAACAAACATATAATTCTCTGGCACATCATAAAGCAAAATCAAAATTCAAAACAATAAGTTTTAAGACACAGGAAAGTGTTAGCAGGACTCCTCATTTTCGTTAGCTGCAACAGCTGCATTGTTTTAGGTGTGTATGTGGTTTGGGGAGAGAGAGAGAGTAGGTGTTTGTCTGTGTGTGTGTGTGTGTGTGTGGCTGGGGGGTGGATGTCAGATTCAATGATGTTTCACCCTTTGGAAGGCTGCCTCACCCCAACATCAGGAACCAACTGAAATCAAATCACACAATTAAACAACAAGTCAGCGTTTGGCGTATCGGAAGCACTGCACACACAAAAACAGAATAGATTGACAGGTGTGTGTGTGTGTGAGCTCTCTGCATGTCTGTTAGTAGCAGATGGTAGTGCTGGTGGGTCTGTTGCCAAATTCACTGTGTGATCATGTAAATGATCACTTGCACACCACACTCAAGTAACACAAACGCACCCTGCAAACCTAACTGAGACATAAAAAACATATAGCGTGCACACATACACACAAAAAATGCACGACAACACTGTAGTGAGAATAAACAGAGTGAGCAGGGATGATCATCGCTGTACCACATCGATCTAAATTAGATCCTTTTATTCTCTGATCTCCTTTGTCTCTTCTGTCTCGAATCTTTTGAATTCTCTTTGAAGTCTTTAATGTGAAACAGTGGCTGCGCTGGTGTGTGTGCGTGTGTGTGGTGTGTCTGTTGCAGTTAAGATGTTGATTGAAGCTGAGATTAACAGTGGGAAGCTTTACACTCAAAGACGACATTTCCCTTTTATATCCCTCTTCTTGATGCATGGAAACAAACCACACACACACACTTCATGGAATACAAGACGCAGTTTCACTAAATAAAAAGTGACTTTTCTTGACCTCTGCAATGCAGAAAGTTTATGCATAACACACCACACACCACACCCATGCACAGATAAGGGTCTCCTACAGGGGTTCGGGCCTTTGGCACACATCTAGTTCACAGAACCTCCCATGGCTTTGGCACATCATGGGACAATCTCTCTTCCC